GGATGAGAATAATTATAGATGAAAAATGCCTAGTAAGTCATCCATCTTTTCTCCCTTACAGCATGCACTATTCTCTGAAATTTACTGTGTAATGCATTGAGGATATCATTCTGTTGCTAGGGAAATGATGACTGTAATGAGATGTTACACAGCCTGCGTTTTGACTGCACTGCAGGATCAAAGATGAGGCTGTAGAATTGAAGATCTTTCCAGGAAACATGTTAAGTTGTGTCTTATCTGCATTCATGTGTAACTTCCAAGTTAAAAGTAAAAAGACGACTGCATACTATGCAAAGCCAAATATCACAATGTTGTTATCTTGCATCCCCACCCCCCATTTGGTCTGTGATATTTAACTGAAGCATGTCTTGTGTATTTTCAGTGTAAATATAGGGATAAAATATAGAGATCCATGATGACCGGTAGAACTTTACAAGTAACTACAAGACTTCCTATACAGCACACTTACCTAAAGCAATGCTGACATTTATTACCATTTGGGCATTCTCAAGCATACATCGGAGTGAATAGTAAATCTGTTTTCATCTGAGCATGAGATAGGTAAAAAATAATTAGTTGATAAAATATGATCAGCCATGCATGGTGACACACTGTTGCCAGAGGTTCGAATCTATTTGATAGGGTTCTTTGAAAATAGGGTCCAGCCACGACTTAACATATCACTGAGTATATGGCTCCCCAAATAAAGCAGCAACCCCTGCAGCTCCCCACCAACTCCTCCTTTCCTGAGTTTATTTATATTCTAGGTCTTTTCTATGTGCCTGTAACAGTGACACCTTCCACCAAAACTTATCATGGCTCATCCAGGAGTGGATTCCCACCAGAAATAGAAATTCCAGGTAGTTTTTGAGTAGTTCCCAGCCTCAGTGCTGTTTGATTGATAAAGAGAATTATTAATGCAGCAGATAGGACAATGAAGCTGGTGAGGGGTCTGGAGCACGTCTTATGAGGAGTGGATGAGGGAACTGTGACTGTTCAGTCTGGAGAAGGGGAGGCTCAGGGGAGATCTTATCACTCTCTGCAACATTCTGAATGAAGGTTGTGAGATGGGGGTTGGTCTCTTCTCCCAAGGAAAAGTGATAGGATGAAAGGTAATGGCCTTAAGTTGCATGAGGGGAGGTTGGTTTTCTTTTCAAAAAGAGTGGTAATACACTGGAATAGGCTGCCCAGGGAGGTGATGGAGTCACTGTCCCCAGAGGTGTTCAAGAAATGTAAGGATGCAATACTTCAGGACGTGGTTTAGTAGTCAATATTGGTGATAGGTGGACAGTTCTCCAGGTCTGGAGCAACTAGTACAAGAAAGACAGAGAGCTATTGGAGAGGGTCTAGAGACTCACAAAGATGATCAAAGGGTTGGAGCACCTCCCCTACAAAGACAGGCTGAGGGAGCTGGGCTTGTTCAGCCTGGAGAAGGCTGCAGGGTGACCTCATTGCAGCCTTTCAGTACTTAAAGGAGCCTACAAACAGGAGGGGAGTCAACTCTGTAAGGGTAGATAACAGCAGGACAAAGGGAAATGGTTTTAAGCTGAGGGAGGGAAGATTTAGGTTGGATGTCAGGGGGAAGTTCTTTACTATGAGTGAAGTGCTGGAACAGGCTGCCCAGAGAGGCTGTGGATGCCCCATCCTTGGAGGTGTTCAAGGCCAGGTTGGATGGGACCCTGGGCAGCCTGGTCTAGTATTAAATGTGGAAGTTGGTGGCCCTGCATGTGTGGGGGGTTTGGAGATTCACGATCATTGAGATCCCTTTCAATCTGGGCCATTCTATGATTCTGTGACAGTTGGACTAGATGATCTAGAGGTCTTTTCCAACCTCGATTCTACAATTCTAAACTGTTAGCTTTCACATTCTGTGTTCTTAAATCATTAGACAGCTAAATGACTAACATGACAATAATGTGGACAGTAGAAATTACTTTACAGGCAAATGAGTCATTGAAGTAGTAGATTTAGTGAAATTCCAATGCAAGCAAGTGATACAGCCCATCCCATGACTCTAGATATAGTTAATCACAGAATCATAGAACCTTTTGAGTTGGGAGGGACACCTAATGGTTATCTAGTCCAACTCTTCTGCAGTTAACAGAGACGTTCACAGCTAGATCAGGTGCTCAGGGCTTCATCCAGCCAGACCTTGGATGTCTCCAGGGATGGGGCATCCACCACCTCTCTGGGCAACCTGTTTCAGTGCCTCACCATCCTCACTGTAAAATACTAAAATACTTTTTCCTTCTATCCAATCTAAATCTCCTCTCTTCTCATTTGAGGCTTGTCATTTGACATTCCAAGTGATAGCAGAACTTTGCTGAGACAAATGCATGGTTCTGCTGATGCAAAGAAATCAGCATCATAGTGTGCGCACAATTACATCTATGCTGTTCTTAGTAAACAAAAAAAAGTGACATATGAATGGTACTGTATCAGTAATGAAGCAGACCCGTCACCATGCTACACAGCAAAAATCTGCCTTTCCCTTTGCTGCCTTGGAAGCCACTATTTATCTGCTTATACTTAAAAATCATGACTGGTTGTGTTTATAATGTCCATGTTTAGTCAACAGAATGAGATTTAATTTACATGCTAATGCAGCTTCACAGATGTAGAACAGATCAGCTTACCTGCAAACCTGCATTATTCAAGTCACACTAGTGCTGATGGAATGACAAGTAGCTTTAATCCCAACACCGGTTTGCAGAGCTGCTCAAGATCTGACCTCCCAGCCAATATCTCACTTCCATCTCTCAGATAATATGTCACTATTTCCTATAAATTACAGCTGATTTTTTTTTTAATTTCCTCTATCTTTTTTTTCTTTTTTTTTCCCCTCTTTCCTAACAAACTGTGATTGATTTTTCAAGATGAAATATTTTTTTTTCTTTCCCACAGAAGTAGAATTAAGCATTACCTGTTTAACCATGCATTCAATAGTTTTATTATTTAACAGATACATTTTTGTATTCGTTTGCACCTCAGACATTTTGGGAGCACTCAAGGTTCTGCCTTGGTCAAGTCTGTGTCAGGCTAGTAACTGTTAGACAACACTCATGGAGAATTTCTTAATGGCCAATAGAATTGAGTATGTATTCTGATGCCAGTCTGCATCAGTGCACTTACTTAAGGACTTGTAAGCTAGAGATTACTAGCATCAGTCTTTTTATTTTACATCATTCCAGGCTACTGAAGCATAATGCCTGAAAACACCAAGTGATCATTTGTATATATACATCGTGAGTTGACACATCTTTCCTGCCTCTACCTGAAAAACTAAGCAGATCCAACCCATAATGAAAGTGTCAGTGTAAGAGGGTACAGCATGGTGCTCTGCTAATTTCAGAAGCCCAAGATGCTGCTTAATTGCAGCACTTATTAAGCATTTATGCTTAGCTTTACTCTCTGCTTTTAAGAGTTGACTCTTGTTAACTAGACTTCTTAGTCTATATCCATATAGTTCTAGTTCTATATCCATATACTTAGGAATTGATTCAGTACCCTATTAACCTATTTGACCAGATCACTGTATTTGATTATTATTTATTCTCTGCAAGATATTAACAATATGTAACATAAATGACATGCACCAAACATCCACATTAAACACCCCTGTTCTTAGGCATTCTCTGGCATTCCATACAGTATTGTTAATCACGACAAGAAAGCAAGAAAGAAATGTCAGCCCACGAGGCTGAAGAGAACAGTGAGAAGGTTCCTGCTACTACCTTGATTTCTATAATTTTCCTAGCTGTTAATAGTTTCTGCTTTTCAGAGTCTACCATATATTATCTCATTCTCTTTCATTAGAACCTGATTTTCATTCGTCTCAGTGGTGTGAGCTACAGATTTATGTAATCTTCTGGAGCACTGTTGAATATCTGGAGTTGTTTCTGATGTCAAAGTATCACCCTAAGTTGAGTAATTTCTTCCTTTTAGCTGGAGATCAGCACATGCTGACTGCCTGTCTTATGATGAAGGAAGCTATTTTCTGCTTCTTCACATGCCTTACTTTTAAGAGAATATATCCTCCTAATATTGTTGGCCTTCTTGACTTCACATTTCCTTTTTGGCTCTTTTGCTTCTATCTTACGTTAGGAACTTTGTGCTTTGATCAAGAAGATGAAGAGAAACACTCTACTACAAGACTCTAAGTTAAATATACAGAAAATCCAATACAGTACTCTGTGTCCATTGAATTCTAGGATATTGTTTTACTTGAGGGAAGCAAAGAATAGAAAAATATCCAAATGCAACAAACAGAACAAAGACACAGGTCAGGGCACAGACACACAGCAGTTTAGCACGAGACTACTGCTGAGGCAAGACAAACTTAGACAAAGTTCAACTTGTATTACTGTGCTCAGTTTCAGCAGCAGCTCTCAGTCTTTGCTTTGTGAAAACATCACAGATGTTTCTGAAACATTGCATATAAACATAAAGCACACCTGGAAATCTTCACTGTTTTGCTGAGGAAGCCATACATGCAGTGAATTTCCAGCTTAACCACTTCAGTTGTCACTTCCTTCTTTGAGACACCAGAAAATTCCATCAGCTATGTGTATGAAACCTAACTCGTCAGGACCTGCTACTCATACCAACTTACACTTCTTCCACCTGAAACTTTAAAACCATGGGCGGGGGGGGGGGGGGGAAACCAGCATGACAAAAGTTATGAAAACAATTAAGCAATTGTTGTATAGAAGATCATGGTAAACTTTTGGTTAAAATGATAGCTTGATGAAATCATTGTTTGTGCTTGCTGGTATCTTACAATAAAAGCTTTTTGAAGCTCATGGTGCTGAAGTATATAGCTATCAGGGTGATTAATCTTTTTATATTGCTGTTTGTATTTGCTTTACATTTAAGCTGGTTCACATGAAACATACAGGTTCACAGGATGCTTACAGGTGCCACAGGAAAAAAGCAATAACAACAACGAGAATGAGTAAAAAGAGCCATCAGAGTTCAAGTAAAAAAGTAAGCACTTATACTTTTGGGGATAAAGAACACAAACAGCCTTTTACTCTACTAAAATTTTCTGTGCCATTTTCCATCAAAGAAAGATGTATCCGAATGCATTGAAGGCCTCCATCTTTGCTTTAGAAACAAAGGAAAATGAGAAATAGAAGGAAGAAATAGATAGAAAATAAAGAGGAATGGCTGAAATTATTTTGTCCCATAACATAGAAGACTTTGGAAGAAGGAAAATGCACTGAAATAATAATTAAAAAAAAAAAGCAGTGAAGTAAAATAAGGAAAAAGCCAACACTTTAATATACTGCATTACTTATTCTATTATTACGTTTTCCCGTGACAATTTATCGACGGAGTTTCATGGATCATCAATAAAGTAACACTATATAAATCCCTAGAATCTTATTTCCTTCTGGAGTTAGTGCTAAATTGGTGCTAACTTGTCATTTATGACAAAAGGGCAACCAGTTTCTTTGCTCAACTTGAATACCCAATTCAGGAACATCAAGATAAACAAATTAATAAATAATTAGTTTCAAGGTAACAGTATTTTCAAAGCAAATGGACAACTTCTGTTACCAAGAAGATAAAGCATTTGACAGCTAATAAGACAGCAAGGCATTCAACTTTCAAACAAGAAAAGGTGAGAGTTTATATTACACTGATGAACCACAAGCATACTGCTGGCTGTTTTTTTTATTAACATTAATGAATGAGCTCATAATACTGATCAGAAGTGGTGGTGGTGGTTTTTTTTTGATTTGTTTAGGGTTTTTTTTTCTTTTTCTCTTTTTTTTTGTTGGTTTTTTTTTTGTTTTTTTTTTTGTTCACACACGTCACAAAAAAATTTCATGTGACAAACACTATGATACATATGGCAGAAACAAACAGCTGTGGCCACAAATATGTTTTGTTAACTGATGATTAATATATTCAGGAAGCAATCACACCATTCATTAGTAAAAGTTTACAAACATTAAAAAGTGCGTAACATTTGAAACCAACAACAACACAAAAATATATATAATATATATAATATATATAAAGAAAGTGACATCACCTCCCATTAAGAAAAGATCTTTCCACTTTGTGATTAGTGCTTATGTGATTGCCATGGTTTACTAGTCAGTCATTGTCCTTACTCACCTTAATCACACTGAGGTGTAACTGCCCCATCCTGCATTGTTCGGCCTCATGTACGGCCTTGTCTACTGGGGCTGATGTGGGAAGGAAACCAATCAACACAGCTACTGCAGAATAGGTTATGGAAAAGCTATCCCAGTACTTCAGTGAATGTTCAGTTTGGACTGCCATTTTGGAATAGCTGAAATGCAAAAAATCCAGTATTTTGGGTGCTAGATTACAGCTCTCTCACTTCTGTTTCCACAGGTTGGGCCAAAAGGCTGCTGTAGCAGCTTTTACCGTTTGGCTGTGCCCAGTGCATCATAAACATGCTACTGGCTGTGTGAACTCAATGGCCTGATCAACTGAGGCAAAGCCAAAGTCTAAATGAAATAAAATATTTCTCCTGGTTGGATCCACTTCATGATCCACTACTTGGACTATCCCGCAATCTGAAAATCACTCTAGATAGATAATTGGCAATTACCTATGCCAGTTATTTTCCCATGTGTAAACAAGACCCATCTTTAACAATGTGAACCAGACAAATCTCTAGCACCATGGAATTTGTTTGAATTTTAACCCATAAAAGGTAATAAATGTATTCTTAAAACTACCGTAACGATAAAATACTTGGACTAACATTTTAAAAAAATAGCTTGGAGAAAGATTAAGAAATGGGGAGAAAAATTAGAAAATGGGAAAGAACAACATCAAAGATTCACTTTGAGTCTCTGATATGCAACTAACTACAGGCAAGTGGCAAAAATGTACCAAGGACACAAAACACGCCAAAGTATTCACATTAATGAATCGTTTTGAAGGCTCATCTAGTAACAAATTAGAGTGTTTCTGAGTCATTTAGGTTTAGGCATAACCAATTTAGCAGTTGACGTTTTAAAACTATCATGTGCACATCACCACATTATGCAAAAAACCAGCCCTTTCAAAACGCGTGGTAGAAAAATTCACAGTAACAGAAATATTCTTCATAAGCAGTTGAGAAGGGGCAGTGTAGAGCATCTAAGTTGTACAATACAAAAACCATTGTAAGTAACAGAGCTGTAAAACAGATGCAAGTTCTAAAAACAGTGCTTTCTTTACAGTTCTTTTAATGGGTGAACACTTTGGCCAGATAACTTTAAACTCTGAGGATCACACAAGCCTTTGCTTAAGATACACAATTAGATCCTCTAATGTTTCAAAGGCCATTTGCTACAAGATTAACCTGTTTGTTCTACTTTCTAGAAGTGTTCCCATCAAGTAGTCATTACGAAGGGATCCATCTGATGACACTATCCCACAAAACATTACATGTTCAACCATTGCTAATGACAGAGGTAGAGAAAATTCTGTCTTCTGCCACAGCTTGTACCCTCATTTTTAGCATTGCGTTGAGTGGGTTCCAGCAGTGAAGACACATGCACTTTCCTTTCCACCAGCTTGCTCATGGAAACAAATTTGTTCCAGCATGCTCTTGTAGTCTGAAAACATCCAGCAGCTGCTCCAGTCGGTCAAAGTCAGATGTCAGCTTTCTTGCTTTGCTGCCTCCCCTTGGGCCTCCCCGGTTTGCTCACTTGGATTTCGTTGTGCATCTCCTTCTCCTTCTGTAAGATACAACAAAAGAATGAGTGATCTACCTTAGACCAAAAAAATCTTGTTTGTAGAACCCTAACTCTTCTTCCACTAATCACAAGAACAAAGTAAAAAGAAACTGAAATGGAACACATATCTTGCATTACATATAACACCTTTAATTGCTAAAACAGCAAGACTGCGTCTCAAAGGACCATCAGCAACAAATTCCTTGCTGCATAAGCCACTATCATTTCAAATACACACCTGAAATAGTTATAAATGACAAAAGTTAAAAATAATTGTGCTTTTTTGACAATTTACTGTTGATACTATGACAACAGATAAGAAAAACCTCATCATACCAATTCTGAACAGAGATTAATAAAAAGAGGTGCAGCTTCAATAGATGCAGTAGTTTGTTAAAGCTGTATTCATTCTTTGCATTCATTTTCAGTGCCATGTCCCAAGGCTGTCAGCCCAGCTGTCTCACTGCAAACCACAAAACCATTTGAAGAATAGAAGGCATCTTACAATGACACAGTGAGCAGACACCTCAAAGCCTGTCTAAAGAAAGCTAAGAGGTGCCTTGATAATGGTCTTTAAGTACCTATATGCAAAGCATTATATTGCTTCCTATCTTCTGCCTAATGATTAAAGACGTAACACGTTCAGATGATTAAAAGCTAAGTCCTAATAAGAAAGAAGTCCCTGAATGCTGGTGTAATTATGTAGAGAAATAATGTTAGGACATAGGACATACCTTGTATCTTGTAAGGATTCTGAATCATTTGTTTTAGACTGGCAGTAATTAAGAGAAGACAATTCTAAAGCCTAAGATGCAAAGAAGTTGAACTAGTTTTAAGTCTATACCTTATTTTGTAGGTCACCCCACTATTTAAAGTCATTATAATAAAGGCAGAATTCTCAAGGCAGATATTTATTGTTACCCCATTTTAAACCACGCTGTACATCTGTAGCCTTATTTCTGTATATGGAGATAAACACTGTAAATACCTTCTCTTTTCTACATAGGAGAAATAGCACAGTGGTAATGGAAAAAAAAAATCTTTGCACTGTAAAGAACACTGCAAAGTGCTCAGTTTGATAGCTGTGTTTTGTGCATGGACTGTATTTCTGCTGAAAAAATGCCTCAGAATTTTGATAATTATGAAATTCAACCTGATGAAAAGTTGTATGGAAAGCTGATTACCCTCAAAATGTTTGCTGTTTGCTACAGACTGAGTTAAAAGTAAGAATTTGCTTTGCAATCTACCTTCTCAGAAAACACTCCTTATTTTTCACGTTTATTTCCCACATCACAAAGGATTCTAGTTCATCTATAGGCTGCTACTTCCTACTCTACAGAAATCCCTTTTGCCTGAGTTGTGTGAGCATTTTCTACAAAGCTTTCAACGTTTGTTCTGATACTGTGTAAGAACAGACGAGTGTAATTTCATTTTTGTTTCCTTTTTTTCCCTTTTTGCCAATATCCATACTGACAATTAAAAAAACCAACAGGATTCTTTATTAAAAAAAGACAAAACTCATGAGAAAAATATTTGTATTTATTTGCAAATTTGAGAAAATTCACCCCAGACATTTTTTTATCTAAACATTAAATGTAGTGCACAAGAATACTGAGAATGAGCATTAAGGTTCTAATATACTACTTCTTCAGTGAAGAAAAGCTCAGAAGTGAGCTCTCATAAACTCACTGAGAAACTCATGAGCCTACATCTGCTTAATCTATTATACACTTTTCTGGTACTACAAACTTGTTCTTCTGCTGACAGACTTCCCCTACCAAAAGCCTTCCAACACATTTATGGAAATAATTTTTTGCCTAGGTTCTGAGAAAATTCAAAACTTGTCTAAGCATACTCTGGAGCTATTCCTTGTGCAACATGATTGCTATAAGCTGTTAAAAAAAAGAGTTGCAATTTTTATGTAGTGTTTTGATTCAATTAGGTAGTATTCAATAAAAAAATGATCCTTGAAGCCATAACACAGTAGCTAAGCCAGCAAAAGCTATTAGTTTTGCCAATATCCAGTTTTTAACTTATTCCTCTTAGAATACTACAGGCTCTTCAGGGTCTGTTAGTGGTCACAGTGGTTACATCTTAAACATTTCTATCGTGATCCAAAATAATTTTTAATGACAAACTTCTACAGTCAGTCCTCCATTCCAGTGCTGTGTAACCTGCCTGGATGCCTACCTGTGCGACCTGGTGTAGGGAACTTGCTTTGGCAGGAGGTTGGACACGATGATCCCTGGAGGTCCCTTCCAACCCCTACAATTCTGTGATTCTGTGATTACTTTTACATCTGCACTATCTTCATTTTTGTAGATAGTTGGACGCAACTCTCACAAGGAAGCTTCCTTCTCATTCCTGCACTGAAGTACATTCTTTGGCAGATATGTTTTGGTAGATATGTTTTGATATGCTAGATATGCTCTGAATATGTTTTGGTAGCTAAGAATATTAGAAAGTTGTTAACTTACTATGGACAAAAAAGACTGTAACTGTAGTTTCGAAAGGACTATTATACAGTCACTACACATATTACACATGATTATGCAGTCAACTCTTGGTTATGTGTAATTGGCTTATCAATGAGGGGATTAACCAGCAGTCACTTCAGGTATCAAGTCGGGCATGAGAGAAAATCTGTCGTCATGGAAGAAGGCTTCACCATCTATTGCTGTTCAAAGCTGCTCCTGTTCTTTGCAAGAAGTGTGTCTACATGCTTTTCAAAATGAATGTACTAAGTATGCTTGGATACCTTAATTTACATATATTTGATAATAATTTTACTCTTTTTTTGCTTTATTTGCATCATCCTACTTTGCCGTTACTCTATACTGTAAAAAGGAGTTGTACTTGCATTTTTGCAAGATGCATATGGCTTTGTAATAAGAGAAAAAAGAAAAAAAGCACAAACTTGGTGTATGTGTTTGTATAACTAGGCATTACTTAGAATAAATAACCTTCAAAGAAATAAGATGTAACTCCTAAACATTTGCTTTTCTATTAAATTTAACCTATTTAACCTCTATTTATGCTGCAAATCTACATCCTGTGAGCACCAGCATATTCTAAACTAACAATGGGGATGCAAAATATTTTTTTATCTTTTCTTCAGTTTGGAAAGACAGGATATGATAACACTGTAATACTCATAGGAATGATAATGCAGTATATATTCCAGTATTTTTGGTTTGGAGGTTTTTGTCCAGCACCACAGTGAACTAATAATAAAAATATATTTTCATTGTATCTAATTCAAACTGCATGCCCAAAGAAGTATGCTACCATTTCTGTACGTCTACCACCTAAGGAAATTTTATAAGCAACTCTGTATACCCCTGAATTATGTATTAACATTTAGGAGAATGGTTATTTAAGTCATTTTCATTGCTACAGCGTTAACTGCATGTGCAAAATGCACACTGACGTATATTACAAGTACAAAGTCACTCTCTTTTTATAGTTCACAAAAGAACATAGTTCTAGCTTAGAAGCACTCCAACAGCTAACTGAAAGGTAGGAATCATGTATATTTTCTAAATAGACAGATCAGACAAGATCAGTGTAAATTTGAGACTGAAGAAACAAAGCAGGAAGGAAGGCTGGCACGATGCATTTCAAATACCTGTCCAACATTTTAGACATATCCCCACTTTAAAATAAATAGACCCCTACACACATGCTCATGTATTATAATTCTTTTTTGACGGAAAAAAAATTAAGAGCCCTGTGCAATTAGAAGTGCATGCTTCTAAAAGCCACTTATGCCCAAAGGTGGCAATGGCAGAAGCAGTGACTTAGGATTAAGTTAGTTTGTGAAAGTCAATAAAGAGCACTACAACCACTGCAATTTTGTATGCCAGATCTGATTGTCCAGTAAAGAAATTGTCTCTGTGAGCACTTGCCTAGCTCTGAGAAAAATATTTTCACAAAAGAGGAGAGCTGCTTATCAACAGTTCGCTTTTTGCTGCATCTGTTTCCTTCTGCTACTAAAATAAGCATAAATCTCCTTTCCTGAAACCCAAAAAGGCCTTCTGAATATTACTAAGATCAATTCACTAATTCCCACCTAAGTGACCAAAAAAAAAAATATAAACCATGTTACTGTTTTTATTTAATGTAAGGCCTTTCACTGTATACACTGACTCTCCTTTCACTCACTTGAAGGTGCAAAACCAGCTAAAATTTTGGATAGCATTAGCAGCAGGAGTAAGGTTTAGGACTGCATTAGTGCTAATCACCTTGAAAGAAGGAGAAAGCACCATCAGAAAGGGGAAGAGATGACTCATCTGGAAACAAAGATTCAAATGAAAGAAACAATGCATCATTATTTCTCTGTCCTCTGGTATCTGAAAACAAAACTAAACCTCCACAAACTTTTAAGCAGACATATGGTCTCTCCTTCCAGCTACAGATTGAAGAGATTCCTTTTAAAGGATACTATGAATAAGCTGGGTCCTTAATAAATACTTTACTATAAAAAAATTAATCTTCAACTAGCAAGCATTCACTGCAGAAAGTTCTTTCTTATTTGCAAACAAGTATCCTTCCCTTTTATGAAATCTGTGTTTTTACTGCAGGCAGTATCTGCTTATCCTAGTTTCAGGAAAAAAAATGTTTCTGAAGGACTTTTTTTCTTACGAAATTTTAATTCATATGTTAAAATACCAAAAAGCACTCACCTGCTTTATTTATATCCAGCTCTGATAGCTTTAAGGCCAGTTCACTAGAGCTCCCACCTGGAGAGGACACAAGTATGTCGTGTAGTGCATTTCTTCTACCTGTTCTTCCTGAAGCAATAAAGTCTGCATATGTAGATTCCACATCAGTCATTGCTAACAAATATCCACATAGCAGTACCTGGGTGAGAGAAAACACCAACACTTAGAAGACCAGTGGAAACAGATGATGCTATGGAAGCAGAACAGAAGAACTAAAGGGCTCTCACTGAGCAGAGAACTGGGTGTGTAGCTAAAGGAGATACTTCAATCTTTAAATCTGGAGAAATTAGATCAGAAACATAATGGTATGCAAAACAAAAACAAAAACACAAACCAAAACCCAAAACAAAACAAACAAAAAAATGGTGAGGATTTTATGCGATTTGTATTCAACAATATTTTAAACAACTTCATTTACCATACTTCATGAAGTGCTACTGAGCACTTTCTAAGAGCAATGACCTCAGCAACATAATTTCTTTATAAAGCTGTTTCTGCTTTTAATATTAGCTGGAAAGTAGGAGGAAAGTAGGGCGTGGAACAAAATTCTTTTCTGCACAAAAAACAGAGCACGAGGATTAAGAAAGTACAGACTGGTAACACTATGTGCTCATGCATAGGCTCTGATATGTTTTGTGCATTTGCTTTTCCACTAGTATGGTTAATTTTGGCTTTGTGTATGGACTCTTCTAATTTATTTTGGTGCTGAAACTACACCAAGGTGAATGCATTACCAAAAAGTCACTGAAATGGAGTCAAGTTAACAGAGGGCAAGAGCTGAACTATAATGAACAACTTAAAAAGCTATCTGCAAGCTAGATATAGCTCAGAATTCTTTTTCACTGGAAAAGAAGTTATTTTTCATATCACTATGGAATATGAGATGATGTACTTTACTATAAGGTTTGCCAACTTGGAAACTTGTATTTCAACCTCAGCAAGAGAAAGATTTGCATTTTTGCTGGACTGTCTGCCACAGCTTTAACCTGATGGGTTACAACTTTCTTTTGCTGATACCATTTTTACTGTAGTTCTACTTGTACTGAGGCTTTCTGCAAAAAAAAAACCCAAACAAACAACAACAACAAAAACCCAACAGATTAACACACTTTAAATGTAACTTCTCTCACATTTTATGTCTAGATGTAGGAGGACGATCAGGGAAGCTTTCTGGTAGAGCAGTACTCTGAAGAAAAGCAGCACTAGGGAACCACCACACAGCCACAGTACCCCCAAAGCTATATGCTTCCTTCAGTTCTAAGCTGCTCTTCTTGGACTTTACGTACTGCAAAGAGAGAACGTGGCCAGAAGAGGTAGGTTTAGCTGTTATTACTGGAGTAGCTGTATCTCTACATTTGCACACAGTGTACAAATGCTTTTAACCAGTTCCTGCTATATACAGTTGCTGGATGGTGAGGAAGCCCCTACTAAGAGCAGCAAAAGATTCCGTTTTTTATCTCTTTAAGTAAAAGGAAAACAAAACTCATTTCATATAAACTCTTTATAGGTATGTAAGACAAGAGCCAACTCATTCCTACACTGAATAATCTTCACAAATTCCATCCATTCATCTTCATCCCAGCCCTCACCTCCACAACTTCAGCCAGCTGTATGGGGGGTACATGTAAGTTGCCTGAGAAGCCAAAAGAGGGTTCTAAACCATATTTTATCAAGACTAAATATAACTGTATCAAGTATCACTGCAAGACTGACGTATTTGAAAAAGTTCAGGGCTATCAAGCTTGGTGTCTCATGCCAAATGCTGGATGGCTGACATGGTAATTTTACTCCTATGAACAACCACTATGAAACAAGAAACTGCGTTAAAAAAAATAATAATAAATTTAAAACCTAACAACAAACACCCAAGGAATGGAAGGGGTCAGCACTGCCTGAAAGCCTGCCTGACACGCATAAATGGTGCTGTGCCCCACAGTCAACTAATAGTACTATATTAATACTAATGCCTTCATGAGCACATGTACATTTCTCCCTGTGCAGTGCTCCCTTCTTGAAGCACCCCAAGAATACTGAAGCAAATGAGAAATCTACCAGTTGCTCTTTCCCAGAGGTGCAGCTGTTTCAGTACCAAATATTTCAACAATGGGGTAATGAAGCATATAAAATGCAAAAGTGAAAAGAAACAGTGAAGACCTGTTCACCGACAAATATCATCTGGCAAGATCAGAATACAAAATGTCTGAAATGAAACTTTCTGCAGTTACTGTTTGCTTGTGCCTACAGAAAAAGTACAAGATCTAAGTAATATATGTACAACTTGGATTTTGTCACTAGTTTAGTGTCAGTCCAAAGTCATCATAGGTATCACTCTAGCCAAGCTGTTGATTTTGCTTAGTGCGGGTGAAGAGAAAATAGAACCAAACCGACCAACCAGAACTACCATAGAAGAATACTGTTTTATTACTTTGGAAGCTGCAAATCAGTGCATCAGGAATAGAATAAGGAGAGAAGTCCATGACTGAGATGGTACAAGCTATTTGTCTATAAGGCTAGCAGAACGAGGACTGCTCTACTCCAAGTACAACTCCCTGGACTTGCATGCACTGTACTCCCTGGACTTGCACTCCACAGATTACACTTCTGTGAGATTATCATCTTCATGAAACACTCCATAAAACAGAAAATACCAAGGGAATTCTCAGGCTTAACTTAATTTTAGCTAGGAAACAAGCTATAAAGCCATACCAAAATGTACTTGCGGAGAATTTTAAAGGCTCATTTTCTATGGGCTCAATATGGCATTACTAGCAACACCCAGAACAGAAAAAGAATGTTACCAAACACACATTTATTAACACTTCCAAGTTTTCCTGTCTGCAACTTCTTTTAAATGTCAAACACCATTCTGTTATGCATTGGCATTATCCTGAGACATTACAGTATAAATATGGAACTCCACTGACATCACCTGAGAGCTCCTCTTCCAGTGACTGCCACAGTGCCCATCAGCCTCGAATAAAGTCACCGAATCAGTCATTAAGGTATTACCATTCACTTCTCTTCATTCTCTATGGAACAAATTGAGTTTGAGAATACTTCTGTGAACCATAATTTCAATTTTCTGATTTCATTAACAGATACTCTTGCAGAAAATGTTGTGGTCCCAGTCTTCTTTCTACCATTTACACACTTCAAGTTACAAAACCAGCATTTTCCCACACGCTATGAAACTGAAAAAAGAAGGCTGAAAACCTCACTGCTTCTGCCAACTGAATCAGCAAACTAGAAGAAGCAGAAACAAGGAGAAAGCAGTTGTGTCAGAATAAGGACAAATGAAACCTGGTGCTGTGGAACTGGATACAAAGGTAAGTGGTAAGATATCATCTCACCACAGAATAGTAGAATGGCTTGGGTTGGAAAGGATCTCAGCAGTCATCTAGTTCTAACCCCCTTGCCACGTGCATGACTGCCATCTGAAGGCATCCCCAGCATAGAGCCATTTTGCTTGATAAAAGGTTAGAACGTCAACTGCAGCACCGGGGATTTTCATAAAGCCACTTTCCTCAGCTTCCTAGTTTCATTAAACTTCTCAAAATGCATGAAAGAATTCAATTTCTTTTACATTTCAATTCCTTACTCTCTATGGAGGTTGTGTTCAAAATTATTTTCAGGCTCTTAAAGAATTACAGAGGATGACGATAGGGAGGAAGGTAAACAGATACAGCATGATCACAGGAGACTTTGCAGTCTTGGATTTTAGCCCATGTAATATGACATCTTTGCTATTATAAATGACTATCTCAGATAACACATAATGCTACACCTGCAAAAGGTCTACTTTTATATCCTATGAAACTGAAGTTGTACTGTAAGCATTGTGAGGACTAGAATTAGTATTCAGAGAACTCAGAAGGAGAAAAATATGACAGGAACAGCATTATAAAGTATGTATGAAAGAATCAGCATTGGTGTTTTTAAAAAGCTCCCTGAATACTTCTTGGCCTATGCAATACAACTTCTGTTAAATTTTCCACCTCCAATTTCTTGAGGTAACTGTCAAATTTATACTCTTTTCCTTCTTCTACATACTTGGATTCTACTGAAAAATAATAGTAAAAGTCCAACATTTAGTGATGGCTTTCATAAAAGAAATTCCAGTTTGATGAGATTTCACAACTCAGTGAAAGAAATTTAACACAAAGATATTGCTATCAAGAGTTCAGAAGTGAAAGTACATGAAGTTCGTGACATACCAACATAAATTAAAATCAGCATCTCTGCAGGTCATGGGCTAGAAGTACCCTGAATTGTTGAATTTAATGTTTTCAAGAGATTAATTACCTAAAAGAACTCCAAAACCCTGTAATAAAAAATATCAATTTGCAACAATGTTTTATTTTAAAATGGATGACAGAGAGAAAGAATGAGCATTTGATACACGGCTTGTCTACAAGATTTGACATATGCTACCTGCTAATAAAGGAGAGCTGCAGTTTTCTTGGTGAAGATGCAGTGTATGTTTAAGAGGCACAATCCTTCAATGTTTACTTCCCTTCTTTCTTCACACATGCTTAATAATGAGGTTGAATTAAAGGATTTTTAGGTAAAACTCTCCCAGGCTTTGGCTGCTAAATGTTGTATCACAATCAGCACATTATTTAAAGAGAATTATCTATGTTCAGCTTTCATAAAGGAACAAAACAAAAACAAAAACAAAAACAAAAAAAAAACTAGCTTGTCATTTAATAACATGTCTGTTTTAGATATGTATAATTATGCTTGTGAGATAAATTTTGGTTTCAAATCCAGCCTTAACTTAGAGACAGGACAGGAAGGCGATAGCTCTATTCCACAGCTACCCGTACACTTAGATTTCCATCTAATGCATGGACTGCTATGTTGGAAGCAAATGAAATAGAGCAGCAACTTGATAAAAGTAAGCTTTTTCCACAAGAGATTGTATCTATCATGCTAAGGAACAGTACTGTTTTTGCACAGACGCAGTTGAACAATAAGACAAAAATATCTTACTGGAATTTACTGGGTAACTCAACTGATAAACCATGAAACACAATAAACGAAATTATCATCCCAGACTTTTTTAACCAGAAAAAATGAAAAGTTGTTTTAACCTGTATTAAAAAAGCATTATGAAGGCACATATTCATAAGCTCATAA